GTGCTGTAACACTTAAAAATGGGTAAGATGGCAAATTTTACGTTATGTGTATTTTACCAGAATCTGAGATTTGTAAAGAAGAGCGCATCAGATACTGCAAATATTGTCGCAGGGAATAAAGCTGAAGCTCTCTTAAATTGAACATTAAATTGCACGTACGTCTGAAAGAACCGTGCAGATGACACACCAGTGGAAGAAGCTGGGGAGATGCGGCATGTTTATTCTGAGCTCACACTGAAGGTCCTCCTCCCTCACTGGCATCGGCTTGCCCCACACCCTGGCCCTCCATTGCTGCCACCACACACGTTTCTGCTCCCCAGATGCCGCACCCGCTGCCGTGATGCCCAGCCCAGATGCCCTCTGAGGTTCACACACACCCGGCAGCATCAGCGGGTGGACGTCCTGAGTCCTGACATTCAGAGAAACTCTTATGCTTAGCTTTCGGCTTGCCGGCAGTCGTGAGTACCTCTGGCGGAGTCTTCCCAGCGTCCTGTATCAGAGAGGGGGTCCTGGGCCATAGCCTAGTAGGCAAGAAGGACATGGGGAAGTTCAGTGGCTGGCTCTGTGTTCTGCTCTTTCCAAGTGAAGGCTGAGCGAGTCCCCATTCCCTCCTTGCCCTGTCTCATGCTGCCAGCAGACAGGCTTGGCTGTGACGGGGCTCCCGGACACTGGAGGGGCCTGAGAGCTGACCTGTGCCCCATGTCCTCATGCCCAGAGCCGTTGTGCATCATAGACACACGCAGTGTTGAGGTGGCCCTCTGGGAACCAGTTCCAAACCCTCACACCAGCCAGGGGAGGAGACAGGTCCCTTTGATGGGGCATTTCCCAAAACAAGCTCCGCAGGACATCCCCTGGGGCTTAAGCACAGAAAGCTTTCCAAGTTCAAATCCGGTTGGGTCATTATACTGCTGTCTCCAGTTCAAAATGTCTTAAGCTTCTGATATTCAAGATGGCAATAATAATACTATTAAATAACAGCTAACATTTATCAAGGGCTTACTGTATGCCCGGTGCTACAGCACAGATCTTTCATGCATTATTTTATTTAATACTCCCAACACCTGAGGCTTACTGAGATGAAAGCAACTTGCTGGAATTCTGGGCTTTCAGGGACAGGCCTTAGGGAGAAGATGAAGAAGGAAAAGAGGAAGAGAATTAACTACGGTATTCATGCTTCACTTAAAGCAGCCCTTCTTAAACTTTAAAGGGCACACGCATCCTCTGGGAATCTTGTTAGAAAGCAGAATTTGACTCAATAGGTCCAAGGTGGAGCCTGTCTTACTGCCTTTCTAATAACAGTGGGCTGATGCTGTTCATCCAAAAACCAGGCTCTGAACAGGGGGGCATTTGAGCACCTACTCCTGGGATAGAACTCGTTCATTCACTCATTCATTCACTCATTCCTTCAATCACTCATTCATTCATTCACTCATTCATTTATGCAAACAGTCCAGTAGCAAAGGGAATGACAGTCTCTGACGTCTGGAACCAGATTCTAATCCTGGCTCTGGGCTTAACTAAACAGCAATTTCTTTGAGTCTCAGTTGCCCATTCGCAAAATGGTAATGAAACTCACATTTTATAGAGTTTTTGTGAATATTAAATGCAGTAAAATATGGCAAAAGTCTGCTCCAGGATCTGGGGCATGGTGGACAGTTTCATAAATGGCCGTGGCTTGGAGCTTATTTTAAAAAGTGCTTTTAATGTTTGTTTATTTTAGAGTGAGAGAGAGAGAGAACACGAGTGGGAAAGGCATAGAGAGAGAGGGAGACACAGAATCCGAAGCAGCTCCAGGCTCAGAGCTGTCAGCACAGAGCCAGGCCCGGGGATCAAACTCATAAGCCGTGAGTTCAAGACCTGAGCCGAAGTCAGACGCTTCACTGACTGAGCCCTCCAGACACCCCCTTTTTTATTTTCTTTGATGTTCGGAGCTTATTTATCATTCACTTATTCATTCATTTTAAACAGAGATTTTCACATGGTTCTAACAGGTTTATTTATATTACAGAAAATTTATTTATCGAAATAAATCACTTATTTTTTAAAATAAATCACTTACTTTAACATTTACTTATTTACATATTTCCACAAAGACGTCCCAGTGGCCGTGAAGGCTGCCAGTGAGGGGCCCGGAGTCACGGTCATAAATCAGAGGAGCAGGCATGGATGAAGAAACATGTCTTCTAATGATTTCCACCAAATGTGGAGGGAAATCATAGAGACGGGCACAAGTGGTGAGCTGTGGGAGCCGTTTGGCAAATGACTCCACCAAAAAAGGAAGAGTGAGAAATGGGAGAGCAGGGGATTGAGAGAGAGAGAGAGAGAGAGAGAGAGAGAGAGAGAGGCTGGGACTGGGTAAAATGTCAACAGATCGCAAGCTATTAATTATCGGAGGAGAACTAAATATTAGGTAGGCAATTATAGACAGGCATCAGAAAGTGGTAATAGGAAAAGTTTGGCCCCAGCCAAATTGCGTGTCCCCTTGAAGAAGGGCAGGGGAGACTCATTTCACCATGCAGAGCAGGCTCTCTACTCCAAGGGAGAGCCAGGCAGCCGGGGTCCCCAGGGAGGGGGAGGCAGGGGTCCCTCGCCTCCCCCCACCAGTCCAGCCAAGCCAGGCACACCGCGCTTTGTTTGAAAGGCAGCCTTACCCACCACCCCCACCCCCGGCTCTGGGCCTGGAATCCACAGTCCCCTCCCTGGCTGCCCTCCCTCCCCCAAGATGTCATCTTTTGAGATGATTTCATGTGGAAGCATCGCTAAGTAAATTCGCTAAATGCCTATTCATCCCCGTCAGATGGGGACTCGTTGAAGCGGTAAATGTGAAAATGGCCCCAGCTCAGGGCCCTGAAAGGCGCTTTCTGGGGTTGCCAAATGGAGCCACAGCCACTGACCCTGGGAGGCCTGAGGCTTCGTGAGAGGGGGCCCAGGAGCCCTGGCCCTGGCCCCTTCAGCCCTCCCCCTGAGGCGGCTGAGAGCCCTATTTATTATTCCTGCTGCCAGGGACCCATTCAGAGGTTAACTTGTCCGTGTATTCATCAGGACGACAATAATGAACTGTCGCAGACTGGTGAGGGGGTTGGTAAACAGGAATTGCTGAGACACAGAGATGGAACAGGCCTCTTTACTGTTTGCAAAGAGAGATTGCTTTCATTTTTTTTCTTTTTTATGGGCTGATCTCATTCCCACCTCTCCCCGCAACTTCAGGAGGCCCTTTGCCCATAGCTGCCGGTAACTTGGTATGAGGTATGCATGGGCTTTACCTGGGAGTGTGCAGACAGGCTTCTCCACACACAAAATGCACCATTTTGCAGACACGTGGGGTGAGCCGTGTGGCTACTTCCCTGGAATTCACCTCTGTGCACATCGGCAGGGCTTGGTTTGTGTGTTTGTACCGGATTTACCTCAATGCAGATGGGGGCAGGGCGGGGCAGGTGTCTGCCGGTGCCAGAACGGCCGCCTGTGAATTGGTGTTTATTTCAGTAGTAGAGGACAGGACAGTGGAACATCAGCAGGGCTCGTTTTCACCGCAGCATCCCTTGACTGCTTTGTGCCCCCTCTGCTGGAATTATGAGTTGGTCAACATGCGTCATCCAATCACAGGACAGGGGCTGGCAGTGGTGCGGCCGCAGGGAGATGCAGGGAAATGAAGGTCGGGTGAAGCGTGGGGGCCGCTTAGACCAAATGGTGGGAGGTGGAGGGAGCAGAGCACCTTGCATTTATTCCGCACCTACTATATGCACTTTACATATTCCCAGCTATCCATTCATTATATATGCACTGAGAGCCTACTGTCTGCTGGACAGTCAGGGGAGTTCAGAGAAGGCTACCACCCAGAGGTTAAACCACTCACCCTTGGACACACAGCTGGGTCAGGAGAGGAGCTGGGATCTGTCTCCAGACCTTTCTGCTTCTAGAGTCCAGGCATTGCTTTCTAAGGCGCCCACCTGCCCCCCAAAGTTCTGAGAACCTCCATCCTGTTCCCAGGAATGTCCTTCCTTTCCACTGCCTCCATCCCATCTCACACTTTGAAACAATGGTTAACCCTTTCCTTCTAAGTAAAAATCCCTGAGCTGAGAATATGATAAAGGAGCTGTCACTTCAGCACCTTTTACCTGTTTGGGTTTATTCAGCAGAAGAGGCGACTGCATTCCTGGCAGATGGAGACCCGTGTGACTGCCTTTTAAAATACTGTCACAGCTGTATGCACAAGCTGATTAGCTGTGACTACACTGCCTGCACCGAGATTGATGGCGATAAATTTGGGATAACAATACTGGGAACGACGTCATCTGTTTCGATCACACTTCATTTTTTTTTTAAAGCTCTCAATCGGTAGCCCACTGGTTATTCAAGGACTTGGTATTCATTTGTCCAGCAACCATTAATGTAGTTCCTACTAAGTGCTGGTGAGGAGCAAGTCCCACTAGGTTCTGTCCTCATGGAGCTTACATCATAATGTAAGCGAATTTTACACTTGCACGTGGCGGTAAGATAGTAATGGAAATAAAGGGAGAGGATGAAGATGGGGGTGGGGGAGGCTGATGCCACGTTAGGTTTGGTAGCCAGAAAATGCCTTTCTGAAGAGGTGACAATTGGAAGGAGACCTGGATGATAACAGCAAGCCAGACCTGGAAAGACACAAGGCAGAGTTGCCCAGGCACAGCAGGTGCAAAGGCCCTGAGGTTGCTATGTATCTGGCATTGAGCTGCACGGTAATGATTCACTGTTTGCCAAGCCCAGTGCCGAGCACTGGAGATTCCAGAACAGCTAAGGTACTATGCTTGTACTTAAAGAGCATGCAGGCTATGGACCAATTAGGATACAAAACACTAATAGCCCTTTTTAATGCGGTATGGTAAGCCCAGTGATGGTGACCCACAAAAGAATATGCTTTATCAGCCTGTATGGACCTGATTTCTATAAGAAGAGAGCCACAATTCAGAAAGTGTCCATGGTCTCTGGGAGACCCTGACTTTCCTCTCGGTTTGTTTCCACAGGACAAATGACCAGTTGGTGGCATTTCTCTCCCGATACCGAGAGATGAATTTCCTGAAGTCACACGGCCGGGACAATGCAAGGTAGTACATCCTCCACCTACCCTTGTGCAAAATGGGAGTGACAATCTGAGTGATCATTTTGGGGCTTCCTTCGAGGCCAGCCTAGAGCAAAGTAGAGGACAGGAGGAAGGCATGGCTCAGGTGGGCCTCCGCCCCTTCCATGTAGGGTCTGTAGTGGTTTCTCCTGTCAGCCAAGGACAGGGATAATAGTAAATGTGTCTCCTCTCGTAATAGCCCTGTACACCCTCTCCCTACACGTAGACACACACTGAGTACTTTTTCCCAAGTCCGTTATCTCATTATGGTAACCCTTTGAGTAAGTAGGGCAGCCACTGTTAGTTCCCACTTTATTGGTGAGATGACTGAGCCCTGTGATTTAAGTGATGGCCCAGATCATTCATTGGGTCAGCCATTCAGCAAACACTCACCCAGAGCCAAGCAGGTGCCAGGCACCCTTCTACAGGTGAACAAGACAAAATCCTCATTCTCATGGAATTTACTTCCTGATGAAAATGAGTCTCATGCCAGCATGGAGTTGAGCTCAAATACCCTGATTCCCACCCTCTGCCCTTGCCAGTGCCTCACTCTTGCTGCCCAAGACCTTGGCAGGGAGTCAAGGCACCAGGAAGCCCAATCTGGACCCACAAATAGCATGCTACAGTCCTACTTTGAGCAGTCAGTATCTCTGTGGGCAGAGATCAGCTAGAAGGGATCCAGTCTAGAGCGCCCCCTTTGGGGGAGATCACATGATCAGCCTCACCATCCTGACGGCAAACACCATTAAAAAGAACCAGCCCAGATCACTGACATGCTGGTGGCTTTTTCTAGCTTTGAACTCAGACCATAACCTGGCAGCACATGGGATAATTTTAGTTTGTTAATGTGTTTCGTTTGGCCCTTATGTTGGTTTTGTTTTATTTTGTTCTGTTTTAATTCAAGTGCTCCATTTGAAAATGAATAGCCCCATTTAAAAATAGCAGCATTTCCCAGGCACATCCAGATTTCAGCTCATCTTAAAAGATCCAAAGGTCCACTGACTCTGGGTCTCAGGTTTCTCATTGGAGGCTATGACGTGGGTCATAAACAAAGGCCCGTGTTCTCTGGGTCCCTGTGGTCCTCACCTATCCCTCTTTCCTACCTGGCCCCACTGGCATTTCAGTTTGTGGTCTGCTTCAGGTTTTCTGCTGACTGACATGCCCTGTGGCTGGCTCTGTAACTCAGTTTACCGAGTTATCCACAGCAGGAGAGGGACAAGAAGGTAGCAGTGAGCTCCATCTCCTGAGCTTTCCAGATGTAACCCCAGAATCCTTTGTTGTATCATTGCCTAAATTCTAACTCTGATTTCATCCAGCTGTTTATAGCTTGTTCCCATCCTAGTGCGAGCCTGTATTTTTTCCATTTAAAAGGAGCCCCCAGACTTGCCTGTGCTCTGTAGATCAGCACAGATGAGCATGAGCATGTTGCTACCATGAAAGGTAGAGGTCTAGATAGATCAAGAGTTACAGCCACTGTGTGATATGTTCCTAATAAGCACCCTTGCTCCATTGACCTTTTCAAATGTTGATCCAGTTTCATTCTTACGGCCACTCAGTCCAAAATAAGAATCATTATTCCTGACAACATTTGTCAGGAGAAGAAAAGGGTCTTTGGAAGTCTAAATGATTTTCCCAAGGTTACACAACAGCTCAGTGCTAGAACTTGAATCCAGTTCTCTGGCCCCACAGCCCGTGGGAACAAGGTAGAGCTGAACAAGATTCCATGCAGGTGTTAGTTATCAAAACTGGCCCACATATTAGTGTCCAGGCCCTCAGGCTACCTCCAGGTAAACTTGTAATACATGTAAAAGTTGTCCAGTGAGAAAGGAGCCCCTTGTAACTTGATAGACCTGTGTCTGAATTATCATCCACCCTAGTATTATTATTCTAGCCTAGTCAGTATTTATTCTCTGCCCACTGTTTCAAGGCCTGGTGCTTGGGATTGAGTATTGCACAGAGGTTAGAAGCGTGAGCTTTGAGACTGTGCCTCCTAGGTCAGAGTCCTGCTCTGCCATGTCCTAGCTGTGTTGCATTGAACAGGTGTCCTAACATCTCTGAGCCTGTTCCCTTGCCCATAGGGTGGAAATATCAGTAGACCTACACTCCTGGGGTTGAGAGGATTAAATGAACTGTTGCATATGAAGCATCCAGCAGGTAGTAAATGCCCTATGTGATGGTGATGGTGATGATGATGTCCTGGCCATGAAAAGCATAGGATGAAAATGTCGTGGTGGAAGAAATAAATAGGTGGTGTTTGGGCCAGCATTAGGTCACTGTCTAGTTGATGCGCAGCAGTAGCCGAAGGTAGTACCCCAATGCCACAGGACGACATAAAGGTTCACGCCAAGAGGTTGATCGCACTTCCCGCTAAAAGTAAAACCCAAGGATCTCGGAACAGAAAGGCTCCCAGGTTCCCCAACCCATGAATGAGCCCTTGGCTGGTTTTCTGTCACTGGTATGAATGAAGGGCAGTAATTTAGTATTAATTTCACAGTAAAATGAGCCATCATCAGAGAGGAGCCACCTTCTCCTCTCTGTCAGCTGAGGCCTCCCTTGCTGCATGAGTAACCCTAGCCACTGTGCATCTTCTGTGGTCCCCTCCCCAATGCGCAGAGCTGGGCATGGCTTAGCTCGAGTCCCCGCACGGGTGGTGTGTTACAAAGGACCCTCGGTGGCAGATGACAGAAAGTCAGCTTAAACGAGACTAAGTGGGCAAAGGAGGTTAATGGAAGGAAAACATTGATCTCTGACTAAATCAAGCAGTTCAGATGTTGTCATCACACCCAGACTCCATTCTTTTCTTTTCCCGCCCCTTTTTTTTGGCCATTTACTTATTTATTATTATTCCTGGAGAAGGTTAAAGTAAAATAAACACATCAAATAGCCAAGTAGTTCACGGAGGGGAATCTTTTTTTTTCTTTTTTTAACTGAGATGTAATTGACATATAACATTGTTAGTTTCAGGTGTATGATCTAATGATTCCTTATTCATCTATATATTTTAAAGATTTTGTTAACATTTGTTCATTTTTTGAAGGACAGAGAGATACAGAGTGAGAGCAGGGGAGGGGCAGTGAGAGAGGGACACACAGAATCTGAAGGAGGCTCCAGGCTCTGAGCTGTCAGCACAGAGCCCAGCGCAGGGCCCAAACCCATGAACTGTGAGATCATGACCTGAGCTGAAGTCGGATGCTTAACCAACTGAGCCACCCAAGCACTCCTCTTTATTTGTATATATTGCAGAATGATCACGCTAAGTCTAGTTAACATCTTTCACCACACACAGTTACATTTTTTTTTCTTATCGATGGCAACTTCTAAGATCCACTCCCTGTGCAACTTCCAAATACACAATACAGTATTATTGACTATACATCACATCCCCCAGCACGTATTTATTTTCCACCTGGAAATGTGTACTTTTTGACTACCTTGTTTACTTCTCTTTTCTTTTGTGTTGGTTTGATTTTCTGGCTCCAGCCGGTGACCCTTTGCAATGTATTAGCTTCATTATAGAGATGGGGAAACTGAGTCTCAGGTGAAGTAAGTTGCTGAAACCCATGTGGCTATGGCAGGGCTAGGACTTGGGCCCAGGTGCGTGTGTCCCCAGAGCCCAAGCTCATAGCCCTTGTATGATGCAACCTGTGCGTATTCTGGGCCGGCTTTCCCCCAGCATGCTAGGTGGCTTTGGGACAGCAACTCTGCTTCTCTGGGCTTCACTTTCTCCCTATGAAAAAAGAAAGTGGATTAACAAGAGGGTCTTGGAAGGCCCTTCTCATTCTGATGCTCTCTGTTCCTGGACCAGCCCTTGTAAAAGACATTGTGACAAAGGCAAAGAGTTTAAAAGATCAAATGATGTGGAGGGACCTAAAACAAGCAGTGAGATACAAAATAGGCCACAGGGTGCCTCGGTTTTCCCTTCCACGTGGTTCCTAATAGCAGCATTGACCTTCTGTCCCCATCTCCAGCCCTTAGCAGCCAATTTGGATTCCCAGCTCCTGCTGCGAAGGGACAGCATAAAGGCAAACTAATATTTTAATAGCTGCCAAATTGGTCCTGACTGTTCCTGTAATTAAATGAAGGGGAGTGTTGTGTTCACCATTTCTCCTTGCTTTCCTCCAAAAATAAAGTAGATGCAGTGAAAGGCATGCAGTACAGTTATCATTTCCCAATGAGCCTCTAGGGCGAGCAGAAGCATGTGCCCTAAAGCCCACCGTGAGCCTAAATAGGTCCTTGCTGACGTGCCCTGGATCTCCTGGCTTCTGTTCAGGGAGCATCAGAGAAGTTTCCCGGATGTCGGCAACCCAAGTGTTGGGGGGCACCTGACAGGGGCTAGAAAGGGAAGATCATTCCACCAGCCAGAATAGGGTTCCCTCTGGCACTTTGTCTGCCTCCGTCCATCTGAGCTCTCTTGCTGATTCAAGGTCCCCAGGCCCCCGTGCCGATCCTGGGGACACAGTGTGGTGCAGGGGCTGGCACATGAACATAGGAGGCCCAGCACCCGTGTTGAAATGCCGGCTCGCCCGTGCGATAGCCATACGACTTCAACCAATGGCTTTGACTTTCCAAGCCTCTGTTTGCTCATCTTTATAAAATGTGAACAGGGAGATGGGGATTGTGGAGGACAGAGTGTCCCCGCTGACCTCAGGAAGGCCCTGATCCTGGTACTTTCCAGCATGTTGTCTCAGGCCCACCTCACTTGGCAGGTGCTACCCATCTTTGAGATGAGTACAACTGAGGCTTGGAGAGTTGCTTTCACTTGCTCAAGGTTTCACAGCTAGCAGACAGCAGAGCTGGGACTGGAACCTGGTTCGGCCTGTCTTGTAAGGCCTGATTTTATCGTCCTGTGAGTAATGACCACATCTGAGAGGACCTTCAGTTTTATGTTCTTGGGGTGTACAGATGAAAGAAAACTCCTGCTAACTTTAAGCAGAAGTACTGTTGAAATGATTAGGGGATGGGAAATCACTACTTGCTAGAGTCGGC